ATATATATATATATATATATATATATATATATATATATATATATATATATATATATATATATATATATATATATATATATATATATACTTAATTGATTATTATTTAATCTTACTTAAACCAATAATTTACTTATGACAGTTATTTTTTAATTGTATTTTCTTGTATACAAATCATAATTTCCATTTATTTCGGAAGCATTAACACATAGGTATCTAAAATCCGAATTTTGTAATGGGTCAGTCCTTCATATATAATATATAGTGATTATACACGGTTATTTTTTTGGGCTAAATTATATTTGTATTTGCAGGCTCATGGAATACTTAATATTATTGGTTGGGGTGTAATCCTGCCAATTGGGGTGATAATAGCGAGGTACTTCAAAAAGGGACCAATACAATGGAATGAACATGATCAATGGAAACATGCTCATAAGACATGTCAAACATTTGGATATATTATTGGGGCAACTGGATGGGGACTAGGACTCTGGCTTGGAATTTCTTCCAAATATTACTCTTTTCCCAAACATGGAGCTTTTGGCATCTTCATCTTCACATTTGCCACTCTACAAGTAAAAAACACTCTCTCCCTCTCTCTACCAAACTTATTGAATAAATTTTTTTATCCGCGGTCAACGTTTACATCAAACTCTATTGAAAAAGGTAATGGAAAGTTGTTCTTTAGTTTTTAAATAGAATATTTATTATCATATAAGTATTCGATTAAGAGAATTACAATTGCGTTACCGAGTATACTCTTCCTTATGGTCAACCAGAAATTATTATATTTGTTATTTTTCATTCAACGACGGATATATAGAATGCTTCAGTTTTTTTTTATAATTCTTTAACAAACTCTTTTACCACTAATCATAGTTTATTAATAGTATGTACTCTCATCTCAAAATTAATACTCCGTTTCAATTTAGATGAGGTATTAGTTTGATTTCGCGCGAAGTTTAAGAAAATAAAAGAAGACTTTTGAAACTTGTGATCTTAAAAACTTAAGGGGTAAAAGCTTTGTGGGGCCATGATATTCGTGTGGTTATAAAAGCTTGTTGTTAAGGGTAAAATAGGTAAGATGAAGAGTGTAAAGTTGAGTTATTTTCGAATTTAGTAATATGTCACTTATTTTGGAACAAACTAAAAAGGAAAGTATCTCATCTAATTTGAAACGGAAGAAGTATATACTCTCGTATCAATCTATCACTTAACTATGATAAATTAATATATTTCGTGTGAACACCATGTGTAGGTTGATTCTTCATTGCCCCGATCCCTCAATTTAAAGTTACTATTTCTTCATGCCCTTTGAAATGATTCACTCGTATAAGTGGCAAGATTATATTGATGTCTAATCAACAAGACTAACGTAGGATTTGAAGTTGGAGCGCAGAGGATAATTTTGTAACTTTGTTCTCTCTAATAAAGTCATTACTCCAATTATATATGAATATGGATAATTATAAATTCTTTTACAAGAACCAGGGTATATATAAGTTAAATACTTCTGAAAAAATCTCTTTAGAGAAAGGATTTAAATAAAATTAGTGTTAGAAATATTCATTCTACGTTCCTAGTTGAAGTTTAGTGATTTCATTAACTTAATCCATGATATACACCAAAAACGCATGGCCACAATTAGGGGTGGATGGGGTTCGTTCTAACTGTCGTCGGAAAATTAAATTGTGCATATACTATTCAATTTCATCAATCTTATGTATATATATTATATAATAATTTCTCTTGGCTTTTTTGCATATTTTTATTTTTTTAAATTCTCTTGATAAAAATCCTATTACCGCTACTTGTCAAATATCTAATTAATTATTTGGTTAATTTTTATATACAGACGCTGGCACTGAGATTAAAACCCAAGAAGGACGATGAACTTCACATATACTGGAGTATATACCATCATTCTCTAGGGTATGCATTACTCGCAGTGATTTGTGTCAACATATTCAAAGGGATAAAAATAATGCAAGAAGACGACAAGTGGAGACCTGTCTACATTGCAGTTATTGCCTCTCTTACTTTCATCTTCATAGTCTTCGAAATCATCAATTGGCTCCAATTCAAAGTTGAACAAAAGATAGAGAAAAAAGACGATATTCGCCGACAAATGAAAATTGACACACAAGGAAATTCTACTACTTCATGACTGCTACTTAATTCTTTTTTTTTTATCTGCCATGCATATCTTTTTGTACTTTTACTTAGATCACTTTGTGTACACCTCAATTGTTCTACCGGATACTTATTATTCTCTATCATCAACGAAAGTGTCAAATAACTTTATATGTTATGTTTGAACTACAAACTTTCTTGCCTTTTTAGGGCTGAGGGGGTTGATTACCTAAAATTTATTCCACTATTTAGGTTTTCTATTTGTTGAATAAAACTAGTTAAGCTTTTCTTTTTTATTATATTTTTCTTTATATTTGTGTAGAGATAATATATTTGAGGAATTAGTTTAAGTAGATTTAAATGGTCTTGCTTTTAGCGTTCCTACTTGTTTAATTAGGTTCTCAATTATTACCATTAAAAAACATATATAAAGGGGGAGAGATTTGGGGGTGGGGGTGGGGTTGCAGTTTGATTTTATTTATCCATATCTATATCTATCTATATCTATATCTATCTATTTATCTATATCTATATCTATCTATCTATCTATATTATTATAAAAGTATGAATACAATGTTGGTTTATAAAAATAACCCTTTTAATATTAAGCATAATAACTCAAATAAAAGGATATAATCGGAATTCTAGACATTAACCTTGTAATTCTATTAGTTTTAGGACATAATACTACACGTTAGGAATCCTACCTGATTACCTTTAGGAATCCTTTTAGAATAATTACTTTCGGGCATAGACATATAATACTACATGTTAGCATGTAAACCTAATAGGAACACGTTAGGTGTCCTATTTGTATAATTACTTTCGGGATAGGGACATATTTTTTTTCCATATAATCCTAATACTTTTAGGATATACTTCTTAAAAAATTCATATTACTAATTTAGTTTGAAAATGTATTATATTGTCCAAATCAATTTAGAAAAAGGAGAGCCTATATATTATTATAAAAGTATGAATACAATATTGATAGACCAAAATAGTCCTAAAATATTAAACAGAATAACTCATATGGAAAGGACATGACTATAAAATCTATTTTTACTACAATAACTTCTATGTTGATTTTGTTAATATTTAAGATTTTAAAATTAATAAAATATTGTCTATTGTATTCTTATTAAATATATATAGGAAGATTTAATAAAATCAATTTAATAAGTATTGTGATGACCCTAAAGGCCATCTTACGATGAGAACTCGGTTATGTGTTCCGAGGCCTTAAAATATCATTTTTACCCTCCTCGATTTGCGTACGCAGTACGGGTGTCCGAAAAGCTTTTATGTTGAAAGTTGATGAAAATAATAATTTTTGCCTGTAAAAGTTAATTTAGTTGACTTCGATCAATCTTTTGAGTAAGCAGACATGGACTCGTGTTTTGACAGTCGTGGCGTGTCCGTATCGAAATATGCGACCTGGGCATATGCCCGGAATAGAATTTCGAGGTCCCTAACTCGAGAAATAAATTTTTGATGAAAATCTAAAGTCTGAAAATTAAATGGTTTTAGGAATTTGATCAATATTTGATCTCGTTGGTATCGGGTCCATATTTTGGTTCCGTAGCCCGGTACAAGTTCATTATGATATTTAAGACTTGTTTGTGAAATTTGGTGAGAAACGGAGTTGGTTTGACGTGATTCGGTCGTCCGGTTGAGAAAATAGAAATTTTAAAGTGTTCCCGAGAATTTCATCTGATTTGGTGTTGAATTCGTAATTCTAGGTGTTATTTTGGCGATTTGATCGCGCGAGCAAGTTTGTATGATGTTTTAAGACTTGTGTGTATGTTAGATTTGGAGCCCCGAGGGCTCAGGTGAGTTTCGGATAGGCTACAGAGTGTTTGAACTTAAAAAAAACACCAGCAGTTGATGCACCAGATCTGCAGACTTCGCATTTGCGAGGTCTAGCTCGCAAATGCGAGCTTCGCAATTACGAAGAGACCATCGCATTTGCGAGCAGTGGGCTGAGAGGGACACCTTCGTATTTGCAAAGTTTTTGATCGCATTTGCGATCCTGGGAGTTCACAGTTGCGAACACTGGGTCACATTTGCAAGGTCAGCAGGTTCAGCCAATCTTCGCATTTGCGAAGCCTTTTTCGTATTTGCGGGGTTCGCATTTGCGAACCCCAGGTCGCGAATGCGACACCTGCAACTGTTCAAAACTTAAGTTTCACGGGATTTTCTCCCATTCTCAAAATTTTCAAATCCTAGAACTTTAGAGGCGATTCTTCCAAGACCAATTCTTCCCCAAAACTTTGGTAAGTGATCCCAACCCACTTTCTTTCAATTTTCCATCACATTTCATGAATTTCCAACCTAAAATCTAGGATTTCCATGGTAGAAATTGAGAGTTTGGGTAGAATTAGGAATTTTTGAAAAAATGAGATTTAGACCTCAAATTGGGGCCAGATTTCAAAATTAATTACATATTTGGGCTCGGTGGTGAATGGGTGAATGGATTTAGGTCCGAACCTCTAGTTTTGGCCAAGCGGGTCCGAGGTTAATTTTTGAATTTTTGGGGGAAATTTTGAGAAATCTAAATTTATGCATTTTAGATGGTTCCTTTAGCAATAATTGATGTTATTGAGTTAATTGTGGCTAGATACGAGTGGTTTGGAGGTGGATACTAGAGGAAACACCGTAATTGAGTATTGATGGCCCGCAGAGCGAGGTAAATGTTATGTCTAACTTTGACTCGAGGGATTAGGAATCTTTGACTTATTTGCTATTTGAAATCCATGCGAGCAGTGTATAGGTGAGGTGACGAGTACCTATGCACCGCCAATTTATCTGTTTTTCCTGTTTTCTTCCCGTTCTTCTTATATTGTCTTTTCCTGCCTTAACTGGTACATGCTTTACTTGTAATTCAATGCCTAATTGCTACTTGTTAGACATTGTATCTTTTGTTGGAAGTGTTAGTTCTGTCGTAGCTTTGTTGTCTCCTATTATTGTTTGAGCTGGTTATTGGTACTTTCAAGGCGTATTATGGATTAGAATTGTTGAGTAGTATTACTTGTGTAAAGCCTCATAGTGTATAATCTTTCTAAATGCTTTGGTTTGAAGTTGAGCCTTGTGAAGAGTTATGTGATTTGAATTGTGTAAATTCTATAAATTGCCGAGTAAATGATATTGATATGGTGGGATCGGGTTGCGCGCCGCAACATGTGTAATAAGGTTAGATTGTCGTGAGATAAGGGTGAACTGTGATTGTGATTATTGTGATGCAGTGGGATTGAGTTGCCTGATGCAACATGTGTAATAAGGTGGATTGTGGTGAAATAAGGGTGAACTGTGATTGTGGTTATTGTGATATGGTGGGATTGGGTTGCATGCCGCAACAATCTTTATGCTTATATTTTTCCTTGACTGTGTTAGTTTAACGGTAGTCTTAAACTGTACTTAAGGATTGGTTATAGCTGAACACTGATGATATGTTTTGAGAACTGTATTCTTTCCTTGCAAGTTTCTGCTTTATTTTATCATGTCCTTCTTTCTGCTTTTATTATACACCGTATGCATGCTATATTGTAAATGCCCTGCCGTAGCCTCGTTGCTACCTCATCGAGGTTAGGCTCGTCACTTACCAGTACATGGGGTCGGTTGTACTGATACTTGCACTCTGCACTTCCTATGCAGATTGTGGAGTAGGTTCGTGCTGATAGAGAGGTTGGCTATAGGATTCACTTGCTTGGAGACCCAAGGTAGTCGTATTGGCGTCCGCAGGCCCTGGAGTCCCCTCCTATACCCCAAACTTTGCTTTTTTCCTTATTTCATCAACAGTTGTAATTTCTTTCGGACAATGCTTGTAGTAAAATCTTAGAATGTTCGTGGATTGTGACATTGGCTTTTGGGTAGTAATAGTAATAGAATATAAACAAAGAGGATATTTACTTTCTTTCGCATTTATTTCAACTTGTTTAGTTTTTTTTATTGTTAATCACTGAAACGTTATGGAAATTGGCTAATAAAACTCTCACATTGGCTTGCCTAGCAAGTGTGATGTTAGGCGCCATCACGGTCCCGGTGGTGGGAATTTCGGGTCGTGATAAGTTGGTATCAGAGAAGAGTCACATAGGTGCACTTATAAGGTCAGAATTGTACAACTTGCAACAGGTACGAGATTGAAAGGATTCTGACTACAAGTCGTGGTGCGAGAAAGAGGCATAAAGGGGAGAGTGCCCTGGCCCTTGGATTTATTCACAGAACAGTTGCCTAGAAGGCAAGAAGAGTATTAAACTATTCACAAGAACTATAAGTTATGATAATGATAAGTAACTGACTTTATGATAGAATTCTTCAAGGGAAAAGGTTTGACTAAATTCTATTCTCATACTTTTAATTCCTAAAATTGATAATCCTGCTACTTTTGCTGAGTTTAGATCCATCCATTAGTCTTTCAAATTTCACTAAGAAGATTATTTCTAAAATTCTATTGGAGTTAATGCTTTTTTGTACAAATTAGTATCTATGAATCAAAGTGGGTCTGTAAACGATAGATTGATTTCTGAGAATGTCCTGCTAACTCATTATTCACAATAGTGCTCATATTAACAAAGGCACTAATGTGGTGATTAAACTTGATATGGCTAAAGCATATAATAGAATATCCTGGGATTTTATTTATGGTGTTTTAAGACAATGTGAATTCTCAGATAGTTGGATTTTAATGATCCATAATCTAATCTCTAATGTGTGGTACTCTATCATCGTGAATGGTACTAGACATGGTTTCTTCTCATCCTCTCAAGGTCTTAAACAAGGAGATCCATTGTCTCCAACTCTTTTCATAATAGCTGCTGAGGTCCTGTCAAGATCTCTTAACTGTATATATAGGAATCCTATTTTTATCCCTTTCTCTATGCCTGCTAATGCTCCAAAGATTAACCACCTAGACTATATTGATTATATTGTTAATTTCTGTAGTGGTGTCTCTATCTCTATTAAATTGGTCATGAACACTATCTCTAAATATGAAAGGAGCTCTGGTCAACTTGTTAATAGGGACAAAAGTTACTTCTTAACTGCTCCTAACACTGTTGCGACCAGAATCAACAGGATTAGAAATTGTTTAGGTTTTATGGAGAAGACTTTTCCCTTTACCTATCTAGGTTTTCCTCTTTATGTGGGAAGGAAAAAAATTAATTATTTTGATAGCATAATTAGTAAGGTTGTTAAAAGACTTAATGGCTGGCAAGGTAAGTGTAACGATTCAACCGGTCGTTTCATGAGTCATAGTTCT